GTGCCGCAGGAATTAATAAGCAGCCTGTGTATTCAAGGCTGACTAATTCAGTGAATGAGACAAAACCAAAAGTTAGATTCCCAAGTCTCAAATTTGGGGCTCTTCTTGTTCCTGGTCATCTCCCACTAGGCCATATAGAAGAAGGAATGTGTGTATTTATTGCCTTGTAGTGACTGAAACCAGCATTATTTGGCACTTACTCTCCAAAAGGTTTAATGTCAAAACTTCAATTTCATGAAACAACAGGTTCAGTCAAGGCCAAAAAGCTTTGAGACTCACTTTTTCTCATGGTATTTCCATTGCTGGGGCTAGCCAAAACCCAAGCTACATACCCAGATGAAAATAAACATAAATCAAAAAACCTCAGAAATGGCCTGAGCTTAGTGTGAAGAGTGAATGAATGATGACTTAAGTTAACTTGTATTTTATCTGAACTAGATCCTTGACTTTTATGTGAATAAAGTTGTTATTGTGCTGGTAAAATAAAATACCCTCCCCCAAACAAGAAATATCAAGAAATATCAGTCTATACCATTAAATGTTAGGCAAGTTCCAGTGATTGATGACCTATTTCAGTTATTTCCTCAGCTATTCCTGGTCAGCAGTCCAGCTAGGAATTGACTGTTCTTTATAAAATATAACAAAAGGAGACGTTGAGTCTCCAACTCCCCAAATCATTCATTCTTGGGGGAAAAATGGTAGCACCTTTTGTGAGTTGAACCTCAATGTTAAAAGTAACAGAGTTAGAAATTCTCTGGGTTATTACCATCTTATTTGTTTGTAGACTTCGTGACCTTTCAAAATTTTCTCTAATATTGACAGGATGAAGCACATAAAAGCATTTATTAAAGGACATAATTTTGCCTGAAAACAAGTCCTGTTTCTGCCCCCACAGGATGTTGGTGCTGTCTACAGACCTTGTGTTGATTACCCTCTGTGGGAAGTAGCGGTCAACTCTAATTAACTAATTTACTTTCAACAAGTGTTTAATTAGGGTCTTTGTCCATATGTTGTGCTTTTTTGAAGATTCTGCACAATGTAGAAAATTTATTAAAATACAAAGAATTACTTGGTTTTCTGACATGAGTGACCTTTGGCCATGTAGGAAATAATGTGAATCAATGGACAAGTCTTATACTCCAGAAATATATATCAAATAGCTTTGAAAGGGCAGGGCATTGAACACCCACTAAGGGGATAAAGCACAGTGACTGCAGAATAGAACTGACGATGAGTACTAGGAAACCAAAGTGCAATATTCGAAAGTGTCTCAATCATCATCACTGATGGTGGGTTAAGAATAATAAATGTTTAAAACTTTGTGTATTAGAAACTTTCTGCTTCAGTCTCATTTTGTGCTCACAGGAATTCTGCATTCGAAATCACCTCATTATGCAGGTGAGTCAACTGAGACAGAGGCGGGGTTCAGTATCTGGCCAAGATTACAGTTGGCAGTGTGCAGACATGGAATTCAAACCAGGAACGTCTCAGGGAATCACAGATATACTTAAGGAAGTGTTTCCCAGACATAGATACCCATTGGAACCACAGGTTAAACTGCAGATTCTAATTCCATGGGTCATGAATGGGGACTGAGAGTCTGAATTTTTAACAAACTTCAGGTAATGTTCTGGCCATTCCAACCACAGACTGCATAGCAATGACTTGAAGGAACAGTGAAGATTTCAACTAACTAAAATTTATTGGTGAACTTGACCAAGGTTATTTAGAATCAGCAAGGGGCAGCAGAGTCATCAGTGACATGCAGCAAATAAAATTCTCAAGCTCAGTTTCTAATGTCAGGTGCTATGACTCGAAATCCTTTACTCTTTCTCCCTTAAGCTGTGATTATAAAAGTAATCATAAGAATAATATAAAAGAAGGAATGACTGCACTTAGAGATTAAAAATTATATGCCTCCTCTTGGAAACATGGTCTTATCCTGCTAAGCTGATTCCATAGCATATCAGTTGCCACCCTGGAAGACCGGAGCAGAGAAAGTAGAGTGTAACTTTTAAACACTACATTTGTAAAAGCTCTGTCACAATAGTAGGTAGGAATGGAAGCATCACTGAGATAAGCTGATGTGCTCATTCCCCAGAAGAGATAAAACGTCTGGAACTAAAGTATAGAATCAAGCTCTCTGGTTTGAATCCCAGAATCATCCACTATCTGTTTAATGCTTGTTGAATTATTTAATTTTTCTTAACTTCTGTTGTTTATCTGTAAAGTGAGTGCTATAATAATAGCATTTTCCTCTGACAACTTTTCCAAGTTTTAAATGTAATATCATTGAACTGTGCTTGAAATAGTTCCTAACACATAAAGGCTATGTACTTCTATTAATCAATCTAATCTTATTTGATTTGATTTGTTGAACATAGAATTAGCTCTGGCATGCCAGTGGAAAAAGTAGCAATGGATACAGAAAACCAGATAACAGCAAATTAAGGCAGAGAAAAAAATCATTAAATCTTAGTTCTGACAATTCATGAGGTTTCCCTGAGCCTCATTTTCCTTCATCTATAAGAAGGGTGTTGAGTAAATGGATAATTTCAAACATTTCTCCAAGATATAGTAAAGTAATAATCTATGATTATTATAGATTATTATGTCCCATTATTATGTCCCATTATTATGTCCCATTATTATTATGTCCCATTATGGAATGGGACAAGAAGAGGAGAGTAAGAATTAGTTGCAGAGCTTTTAATAAGACCCTTCAACCCCACTCCCCAGATTCCTAGGCCCCACTACCAACTTAGTAAGTATAAAAGAAAACATAAATTCTGCATTTTAATAATACTTTCATATGATTCTGATGTATGTATTTTAATAATACTTTCATATGATTCCCCACCCCCTTGAGAAATACTCTCCTATATAGAGAAAAAAATGCAGCCTAGAATGTTTTTCAAATAATACTTATATGATATATATGATCCAGAAATAAATGAAAGATAACATATAAGATAATAATCATCCCTCTTTACTGAGTACATACTCTAAGCCACACAAGCAGTAAATGCCAGATATTTTATATGCACATATATGTGCAGGAGCTGGTTCCCTCTGGGCAAGCCAGGATATTATAAATTGCCTGTGCCCTGATGGTTACTGTTGACTCATGATTCCACAGGATCCAGCATGCATCAGAATCACCTGGTGGGCTTGCTAATTACAGACCACTGTGCCCAGCCTCATGGTCTCTGACTCATTTGGTCTGAAGTGGTGTCGGGTCTAGATTTTTAGTCAATTTCAATATAACGCCGATGGTGCCAGTTTCAATACTGAACTTTGAGAACACCTGGACAGAGAAAAGTTAAATACCAATAGCAGGATATGGTGCAGCCTGCTGAAGATTATGTATTTTTCACACAGACTGCTGAAAGGAAACTAATAGGTGAAACAATGGGTGAATCAAGTGAGCAAAATATGAGCATGGGAAAACTGCATTGATTTCAGAGAAATGGCATCTTGTATAAAATAATCTAGTTTTCACAAAATTCCTGCAGGTGTTTTTTGCGCTGGACTTCAAATTATGTTAGTTTCTATTTGATTTAAGCCATGTTGAATTGGGGTTTTGTTTCTTGAAGCCAATTATACCCACTACTCACATATTCTATTCCAGGCACTGTCAATGTTAAATGAGTTTCCCCCAAAAGCTCAATGACTCATGATAGGGGGAAAGGGTGTGAAGCAAGTAAAGTTTTGATAAGTTTGAAAACAGACTTAGGATGCTGTGGAAACACTGGGGAAGAATAGCAGAGCTTTAGGAGAGGAAAGCTTAAACAAATGCCTGAAGAATAAGCCAAGTGGGAGAGCTGGGCAAGCCAGACAAAGGCACAGATAAATGAGACAGATGCAATATAGGCTCTGCAGGAAGCTGACTTATGTGTAGCCCAAATGGCATAGATCATCAGCAGGTCTGTTCCCGCAACTTGTGTAAGAAGTATCTGGGATGGTACTATCTTGAATCTGAAAGACTGGGGTTCAAATCTCCACTTTGCAATTTATTAACTCTATGATACGAAGTTAACCTCTTAAATCCTCCCTTTCCTTGTGCAAAAACTGGGGTTAATGAGAGCTCATTTCCAAGTACTTTAAAGTTGAAAAATAATGAGAAAGTATTTGGTGTATTATTTATATTATTACTTTGATCATGATTACTATGTGCTAAAAAGAAAAAAAAGGAAAAAAAGATTGTCCCTGCTTTTGAGACACTTAACATTTAGTTGGCAAGAATAATATGCAGTGTGCTAAGAATGGGGAATGGATTAGAAACAGGATTAGCACTAGAAGTAAACCTTCTTAAGCTTAATTTGATAATAGCATAAAGTTTGTTACTTTGAAAAAATGTAAACAAGTGACCAAGGTTTCATTTAAGATCATGGTTTCTATAGCTGTGTGCAGAATTGATTAGAAGTAGAGAAAACAGTTGGTTAAGAGATAGTTAAAGTGAGAGGTGATGAGACAGAGTAAGCCAGAAAATAGCAATTGGTTAGAGAAAATGAGATAGATTTGTAGGAGAATTGGCAGCATTTGGCTTTCCTGTCTAAGCAACAAATCTAGGATAATGCTTGCATTTCTAGTTTAGGAGGTAAAATATTGATGTGATTCTCCAAAGTCATCGTGGTTTTCCCATTGTCATTTTCCTTACCTGATTCACCCAATGTTTGGTCAACAGTTAATTATTTTTCAAGCAATCTGCATCATCAATACATAACCTTCAGCAGGATGCATTATATGCAGCTACTGGTGTTTAACTTTTCTCTGTCCAGGGGTTCTCAAAGTTCAGGACTGAAAGTGGCAACATCAATGTTATATGGGAACTGGTTAAAATCTAAACCCTAAGTCTAGAGTCAGAAACCATGAGGCTGGGCACAGCGGTCTGTAATTAGCAAGCCTACCAGGTGATTCTGATGCATGCTGGATCCTGTAGTCAACATAACCATCAGGGCACAGGCAATTTGTATCATCCTGGCTTGCCCAGGGGGAAACAGCGCCCGCACGATTTTGCCATCCCCAGGAGGAAAAACCACGTTCCCACGGAGGGCAGTGGAGACCGGAGGATGGAGCAACCGGCAACTCACCACAAACAAAGGTAAGATCCAACTGGGAGAATGAGAGTAGTCTGGGGAGCTTCGTAACTGATTTGGCAGAATCTTGGGCTTCTTCCTGTAGCAAATCAGAACACTCAGAGTAGCCATGATACACGCTAAAAACTGCCTTAAAATTCACCTAGTATCAAAGGCCCCTACTCCACTGGGGGAAAAATAGGGGCCCCGTGGAATATGTGAGACGTAATCCGAAAGAAAAGTGTCCCTCAAACCTGTGCCTCCCACACACTCGGTCATTCCACTATTTATATATAGACAAGGCTACTCAAACTCCAAGAGACAAATATAATAGCCCATCATGCCAGGTCAATGGGTAGAATTTCAAGGGTCAACAAGCCATGATCTTAAAGGCTCCAATTACAACTAGGCCACCAGACAGATACACAATTGTCTACCAGTCTCTGTGCCACAACTTCATGCTTCTTGGGGAGCTGGGGGAGGGCGATGTTCCTTGGCTTTTTCTCAAGGAAAAGGAATTAATCCCTACCATGACCCCTAGGTCTCAGCTCCCAACTGCCCATTAACTGTCTGACTAAATGGCGTCCCTGGGTGGGCTGCATGGTTTGAGAATGCTACGAAATCCCTTCCTGTCAGTTCTCTGAGTAAGATCCTACGTACAAAAGTGCGTTCTCATTAAATCATTTATTTTCCCATCTAAGGAGATCTTTTATTGAAATATTATTGAAAATCATTTATTCAAATTGTCTTATCTGTGATAATAGAAAAATTACTCTTCTGAGATCTTTAATGGCAGGAGCTGCTACTATCTAGCTAAATATCTGCAGCTGCTGATCATCAGGGCTGCTGCGTTTCTTATAGTTCATCTCCTCCCTGACCCTCTAAGCTAATTATACGTACAGCCCTGCTCAGTTAGAATCCATGGGCAGGATTTATACATGTTGGACTACCCAGAGGTCAAATGGGAGACTTTTCATCTATTTGTTTTTCTCCATTCTGTGGGTAGTTGTTAAGTGCGTATAGCCAGATAGAGATCCACAACTGCAGGTAAGTCTGACCCAGCTCTTTGGGACATGCACATTATCCTCTGCTCTGTCTTCAATTCAGCACTGTTTTTACTAAGACCTCTGGACTCTCACTAGGCTCTGAATGACCTTGGGAAAGATTTTAATCTGTGCGATCTTCACTTTCCTCATCTATAAAATGGGAGTAGTGGTAAAAATTAAAATAAAAGAATGCATGTAATGTTAGTAACGGGCCCTGTACGGACAGTGCCAAATAAACATTAACACTAAGATGATGATGAAGACAGTGGGCCATTGCAGTGCTTCCTCCCAGATCCCTTTATGCCATCTCTCAATGCTTTACCTTGTACTTTTAACCAATGACTATTTACTATAAGGATATAAAGGCCCCAGAAGCCATTAGGAACACAAGTATTCTTTGGAACCAAAGAATCAAAGTAGCACAAAAATGAGGGAAAGGAATTCTGCTTTTCATAGAAGGCAGATACTTCTATGTACTTGGTGTACTTCTATGCTGATACTTCTGAGCTTGTGGTCATTAACAGCTTATACAAAAGGTGTAGATAGCAGTGAGCGTGCCTGCTTTACCAGAAGGAGGAAGTGTTACCTAATGAATGTGAAGCTGCTTTAGAGGCTTAGTGGGGACAATAGCATGAGGAAAGCTTTGGCAGCTGTAAGAAGCAGCATGGACAATTGGTAGAAACCCAGAGGACTTGTGAACTCTGTAAGTTCTCCCAGAATAACGGGTAGGGAATTTTTTAGGTGAGCTGAAAGTTCATTAAGTTTAAAAAAAAAAAAAATGGAACTAGAAAAATGAAACATACTATTGATTCAGTGTAAATTTTGTCCATGACTTTAAGGTACAAGAATGACAGTGATAGAATTTCTCCACACCTTCTTTAGCCCACAGGACCACAAGTGAGGAAGCAGGAGGAAGAGCTAAGGATACTATGTGGGCTGGCCCTAGAGTTGTAGATTCTTGGCCTAGCACAAGTCCTTCCTGTCAGGTGTCACTTACTGACCAAGAACTGATTACCAACAGCCTGTGGTAAAACAAAACTTCTCAGCAGCCTGTCTCCACATCTGCTGCCTCATCCCTCTCCTTAGCCTTCACCACCCATTATAGAATACTTCCATGTGAATTTTCAAGCCCACTGATGTATGATATTAGAATGTTTCAATAACTAATGCTGATCATTTTAATTTTTAAAATCAATTTCAGTCTAACTCAACTTGTCTAACTCATGAGCAATCTAGTTGCAGTCATTTTTTATGGTCTCTCTGTGGTTGTGCAAGAGTTCTGGTATTTCCTTGTTAAAGAAGTCTCCACCTGTTGATTGTATCGTATCATTTCTTATTGAGTCCTGTGGCTCCCTTAAGAGCACCTTCCTATAATGAATCTGGCCACTAGACCCTCCAGACAGCCTCCCAAGTCATGGTACTCAGTACCATAGTTCTAATGCCAGTCTTGCCTCATCTGAATTCTTATCACCTTCAGGGTCCCAGATGGTAACTCTCTTATCTCCAGTGGTCCAACAATTTCATTCACCCTCAAATAGAACCATTCTTCTTGTCAACCCATAAGCCCAACCTAATCTAGAAAAAATCCAGCACTAAGATTTTATAATTATGATAACAGCAATAGTTTATATTTAGTGAATACTTAAATTTCTAGTAGTATGGTGAAAACTAAAATTATAGCATTGAATAAAGCATTACAAACTCACTGTCAAATTTTTGAAAAATTCTAATACATGGTGCTAAGTTCAGCGATGACAAAATTAATACAGCAAAATAACAAGAACATCTGGTTTTTGAGGCTTGACTATGTCCTGTGCACTGTGCCAAGCTTACACATCTGTGTGGTATATGCCCTCTTTCACTTATTGCTCATAAAAAACCATTTTAGGTGCCTATGGAAATCTTCCTCATGAAAAGAATGGAAATTTATAATTAGGCAGAGACCAAAAGAAAAATCCAGGCATTAGTCCGGTAAAATAAGTCTGTTTGTGTGTTCACAAAATAAGTCTGTTGGTAGTGGGGAGGAGAGAGAGAAAGGGTGCCTGATAGAGCAGAAAATTCCAGAAGCAACAAAACACACGACTTATTACTAGTCCTGTCTACCAGTGCTTTGATGATGCAAATGATAGGAAGCCATTGAAAGATTCTAAAGAAGGGATCAGCAAAATAAAACATATTTAAAAGTTAGTTACCCTGTGAAGAAAAGACTGTAGCTGTGTACATTTGGAAGTAGATCATTCCCAATCTGTCCCCAAGTGTATATTTTGTCTTGTAAGTACGTTAATGTATTACTATGGTAGTATACCATATTTATGTGTTCTATGTTTTGCACTGAATTCATTTATTCAGCAAATATTTATACATTGCTATTAGGCAAGAATATTGAATAGCAGACCAATACCCCTCATGAACAGAGAAGTAAAAATATTTAGCAATGTATTAGCAAATCAAACTTAGCAATATATAAAAGAGTAATACATCATGACTAAAGTTTTAATCCAGGTATTTAAGGTTGGGTTTACATTTTGAAAAATCAAATCATAATTACCACCATATCAGAAAAAAAGAAGGAAATCATATAATCATCTCTACAGCAGTAAAAGTATTTGTCTGAATTCAAAATCCACTCAGAAAAAATAAAATTAACTGGAAGCAGAAGAAAATTTCCTCAACCTTCTAAGGTTCTAAGGACATTACAAAAATCTTATTGCTAGCTAATGTTTTACTTAAAGAAAAAGACTGAACATTTTAAGATTCAGAACAGGCAAGCATGTACACTTTCACCATATCTATTCAGATTGTGGTGGATGTCTTAGCCAGTCCAGTAAGGTAAAAAAAAAGTAATGGAAGGTATAGATATTAGAACAATTTAATTAAAGTGGGCAAGCTCAATTTCAAATTCTAGTTTAGATGTTTCTGTTGGCACAAATCACCTCTCCTGATGTCTGATATGGAGCATAGAAAGCTTTCTCTCTAGCTCAATAAAGAGGAAATGGGTATTATATACCTACCACCCTATGTGTTGAAATAATCATGACATGTGAATGTTCACTAAAAAGTCATCTTTACAGAAGAGGCTCTCAATAACAACACAAATAAGACAATATACCCTGCATGTATAAAGTCGACCTCATTCTCAGTTCCGCTAATGTTTGATTAGTAGTTTTATGAACTATGTGCCATAATGGCAGTGATGTATTTGTGCAAGATCAATAACATAGACTGCTCTCACCAATCCTGATTACCCCTTACCAGAGAGAATTAAGGATTAAAGTGTCTTGTCCTCCTTTAGAGACTGTTTCGTTGGAAACAGCCAGGTGTAAGAGCACATTCTTCTTGTTCCTACCCTGGCTGGTAAAAAGGAATTCCAACACAATGAGCAATAGTGGGAAGACATGTTCTATTATTTCCTCTCCCCTATTTCTTGCAGGCCTCTCCCAAAACTCTCAGAATAACTGAGTACTATCCATGCAGATCTGGTATTGTCTGGCCTCCTTTTCTTTTGGAGGGGGGGGTAGTTTCATACATTTGTAAGTGTTCTTATGTATATATTCTATATTGTACTGGTCTCTCTGTAGTAAGTTTATCAAAGAGATCAAACCTTGCAAGGCGGGTACTTGTGAAGGTAGGGAAGTCTATGGTTTTATAGTTGCTTTTACCTGTAACAGATAGGCAAGCTTCACCGAATTTAATATCATTTCTCATGTAAGCATCACTGTTGTACATGATTTCCCTCTCATAAACCTCTGCCACACACCAAGAACCCAAGAATTAATTTCTGATAACTTCTCAAATGAGCATTTTCCTATAATACCTAAGGCATTTTTCTATTGTGAATTAAATATCTTTTTAATACCTAAATCTCAAGATCCTGAGTATCTTTTAGAGTGAGGGTGGGAGAATATACATTTCCCATGAATAGGAAGGTCAGGGATTCTGAAAGGCCAAGAACCCAAAATTTTATTATTTTGGCCATTGAG